TGTGTTGGATGGGAAACCTGCCTGTGTCCCCTATTGTGAGGGAAATGGTGGGTAGAGGGAAGATGATGTAAAGTTGATAGGATTAAGGATCCAGGTAGATAGTGTTAGCTCTGGGGTGAGGCTGGTCTATTGTTCCAGCTTATGCCAATGTTGGGGTGGAGGGAAAAGTCTTGGCAGGGTCAGACCAAGATTTGACACCTCCCGGGATCACTGCCTAGCCCAGTCTGTGAGGCCTGCCAGCCCTGGCATCCCTCTTGCGTACATTCTGAACCAGCTGCCTGGCATCTGAACTCCTGGGGTGCTATTTAATGAAGGGTGTTCGCTTCCAGTTTACCCCTCAGCAAAGAGAGCGGGTCTGCCTGCTTAGGAGCATATCGAATCAGAGAGTTGGCCAGACAGGCCATCTCGTCCAACCCCCTGCTCAACGTACACTGATGACACCCAGCTGCATCTGTGGTTGGGTGGCCAGTCAGACTCTAGGCTGGAAGATCTGGACCTGGCGTTGCAAGCTGTGGCTGGGTGGCTCAGGCTGAGTCGGTTGAAACTGAATCCGACGAAGACAGAGGTTCTGTGCCTAAGTCGCAGCAGCCCAAGGTTAGGGATCTCACTCCCGACCTTCAATGGGGCACCTTTGGTGCCAGCGCCAGAGGTTAGGAGCTTGGGAGTACTCTTGGATGCCTCCTTAACGATGGAGGCCCAGGTAGCAGCCACTGCCAAGTCAGCCTTTTACTATCTCCAGCTGATTTGGCAGTCGGTCCCCTTCCTCGAACATAGCCATTTGGCAACGGTAATCCATGCAATGGTAACCTCATGATTAGACTACTGTAATGCTCTCTACATGGGGCTGCCCTGGTCCCAAATTTGGAAGCTGCAGCTGGTGCAGAATGCGGCAGGCTGTTGTTGGGTCTCTCTCCACAAGAACACATCCAGCCTGCACTGAAGGCATTGCACTGGGTGCCTTATAGCATACCAAATTTGCTTCAAGGTGCTGGTGCTTACCTGTAAAGCCCTATATGGTCAGGGGCCAGCATACCTGAGGGACTGCCTTTCCCAACGTTCCCCGGAGAGCACTGCGTTCAGGGACACAAAACCTTATAGTGCTCCCTGGCCCTAAAGAGGCCAGACTGGCTACTACCAGGGCTAGAGCCTTTTCGTGGAACGAGATCCGTTATGACACCAGAGTCCTGCGGGGTTTACTTCAATTCCACAGGGCTTGCAAGACGGAGCTCTTCCACCAGGCATTTGACCACACATAACATCTTGATAACTTGGAGCTTCCCTGGGCTTGTTTGCATCATCTAAGTCTGTACTAACTGAGTCCTGTTAAGAAAATACGGGATTATGACTGCCGTTGCATAGGAAATATATATGTATTGCAGTTTAGTCAGTTTGGTGTAGTGGTTAAGTGCGCGAACTCTAATCTGGGAGAACTGGGATTGATTCCCCACTCCTCCATTTGCAGCTGCTGGATGACCTTGGGCAAGCCATAGTTCTGATAAGAGCTGTCCTTGAAAAAGAGCAGTTTCTGTCAGTGCTCTCTCAGCCCCACCTACCTCACAGGGTGTTTGTTGTGGGGAGGGGAATGGAATGGCGTTTGTAAGCCGCTCTGAGAGTCCTTCGGGTAGTGAAGGGCGGGGTATCAATCCAATCTATTCTCTTCTCCTCTTCTTTAGATTTTATGTGTTTTAAACTGTTTTAACACTTTTACATAAACCGCCCTCAGCCTGCTTCGGTGGGGAGGGCGGGGTATAAATCCAAAGAGTAAGTAAATAAATAAATGCATCCCTGACAAGTGTTTGTCCCGCTGCTGCTTAAAGACTTCCAGAGAGGGGGAGCTCACCCCCTCCCTAGGCAGCCGATTCCACTGTTGAACAACTCTTACCGTAAAAAATGTTTTCCCTAATATCCAGCTGGTACCTTCCCACCCTTAATTTAAACCCACTAATTGCGAGTCCTATCATCTGCTGCCAACAGGAACAGCTCCCTGCCCTAAGTGACAGCCATCATGCCCCCCCCCCCTCAGCCTCTTCTTCTCCAGACTGAACATTCATAAGTCCCTCAGCCTTTCCTCCTAGGGCTTGGTCTCCAGGCCCCCAATCATCCTCGTTGCTGTCCTCTGCACCCACTCCATTCTGTCGACTTCCTTTTTGAAGTGAGGCCTCCAGAACGACACACAATGCTCCAGGTGCAGCCTGACCAATGCTGTGTACAGTGGGACTATGACATCTTGCAGTACAGTTCATGACCCCTTTTCCTTTATAAGTGGTATCCCGAGCCTTTCTGTTATATTGTAGACCTGTTAGCTTTACAGAAATGCTCTCCTGAAGAAAGGGCATACAAATGGTCACCCGGGGAGGGAAAAACAAAGTTCCACCTGCCGGCCCATATTCGAGTTCCTATTTGCGCAGGGGATTATAGGTGTACGCCCAACCTCATGTACAGATGTACAGTCTGTACCATGTGAAAATGATGAAAATTACAGATTGTCTGTGAGCCTGTAACTGAAAGTTCTGCTGTACATACACCAGCCTGCTGTGCAAACAGATGTTTGAACCTGTTATGGGTTGGGCCAGTGGGCAGAACTCCAATCTCCTTCCTTTGCATATTCATTTGTACTCACAAATTACTGTGCATTTCCAAAGAGCTGACGGTGCGTTTCCAAACATTATTTTGTTTTACTGAGTGATTTTAATGCATTGTCAACATGAAATATAAAGATGCCTATGCAGTCACACTCTATTTTTGCTTTCGTAGATTAAGGAGAACGTAGTGGTTACTTCCTTTCATGCTCACTGCTGACATGGCATGCATTACAGAGACTGAGGTGGATCAGATGTCTAATCCCATGTCTGGCCAGGTGGTTCCTCCAGGTGCTTTGTACAACATAAGAGAAGAAGAGACTGGATTTATACCCCGCCCTTCACTACCCGAAGCAGTCTCAGAGCGGCTTACAAACTCCTTTCCCTTCCCCTCCCCACAACGGATGCCCTTTGAGGAAGGTTGAGAGAGCTCTGAGAGAACTGCTCGTGAGAGAACAGCTCTGAAAGAATTTGTGACTGACCCAAGGTCACACCAGCAGCTGCATGTGGAGGAGTGGGGGAATCAAACCCAGTTCTCCCAGATTAGAGTCCATGCTCTTTACCACTACTCCAAACTGGCTCTCTTTCCTTGCCAAGCCTAGCCCAAAGGCCAGAACATAGAACTGTGTCTGAAGGGCAGAGTGGTAGCAGTGCATAGTGACACCATGACCAGCACAGAATATACATTCCTTATGTTTAAGGATGGGTCATTAGAGATTTTGGAGTGTCAACCATCCACTTGCATAGACCTCTTGCCAAAAGCTTTCTCAGACCTAGTCCGACACTCTAAATACCAAGACCCAGACCTGGATCTATCTATCTAGTCTATTTTTTTATCCATTCCCCCAAGAGGATCAGAGCAGCACACATAGTTCTCCTTTGTCCTTTTTATCCTCACAACCAGTGTTCTCTCTAAGCTGAGTGAGTGTGAGTTAGCTCACAGTTTTTTAGCCTTCGGCTCACACATTTTTGTCTTAGCTCAGGAAGGAGGGCTCCAGAGCAAACTAATTTATGCAGTAGCCAGATCGCTCGTTCACCACTTTACTGCATGGTGAACAAACTGCATTCCCCACTGCATGGTTAACAAACAAAGTAATGGAAGCTGTAAAAGGTAAAAAGGATTCCTTTAAGCAGTCAAAAGCTAGTCACAGTGAGGCTGATAAAACGGAACACAGGCTATGGCAAATAAAATGCAAGTCTGTGGTCAGGCAGGCAAAAAGGGAATATGAGGAGCATATAGACAAAAACGTCAAAACCAACAATAAAACTTTCTTAAGAACATAAGAGACGCCAATGTTGGATCAGGCCAAGGGCCCATCCAGTCCAACACTCTGTATCACACAGTGGCCAGAAATACCAGGTGCCATCAGGAGGTCCACCAGTGGGGCCAGGACATTAGAAGCCCTCCCACTGTTGACCCCCCCCCAAGCACCAAGAAGACAGAGCATCACTTGCCCCAGAGTCCCTATCTGCCCCATATGCTTATCTAATTTCCTTTTGAAGCTGTCCATGCTTGTGGCCGCCACCACTTCCTGTGACAGTGAATTCCATGTGTTTTGGGTCCCCGATGGGGTGAGAGGTGGGATATAAATAAATAAATCTAGAACGGCACTTTCTACCAGCTCCTTCTGGTGGGAAACCAGAGAATTGCTCTGTCCAGGCCAATTGTGATGTAAAAGACTGAGCTCTTCTTCCAGGCCTCTTATTATTCAAGCCAGTCGGAATAGATATAGACTGCTATATCCAGTCAAGAAAAATATGTAGAGCTTGGTGCTTCATCACTGGAGGTGGCCTAACAAAGTCCTGAAAGGAAGCGGATGGGAACCTGGGCAGTCTGTCGCCACACCTCTTAGCAGCTGTGTTTTGTGGACATCTATCAACTGTTCCTCCTCTCGGTTTTGTGGACATTTATCAACTGTTAGGAATTTTTTAACTGCATTGGACGATTTACATTGGTGTCTTTGGAATGGATCTGAATGGTTATTTAGAGTACTACACTGTTAATACAAAAATGTTTTGAATCACGTGTCAAGTATTTTTGGGTAGAGTGTTACAGGTTTTGGTGGCGTTGTTATATGCACAGGCCTTTAGTTGAGGCAGGGGCCATCCATCTGTGACTAGGCCTCCCACCCAGTGACCACAGGTCCCGAAAGCCAGACTGGGGCCACACTATCTGTCATGGAGGCGCATTGTTGTTTTAAATGCCAGTGATCTTATTGAATTAAGGTTGATGATTTTATGGTTTTTAACTGATTGCTGTTATTGTTTTAAATTGTGAATCTGCATCAATGGCAGATATAGACATGTTGGTACCCGCCCTGAGCCTACAATGTGGGGCGGGCAGGATATAAGTTCAATGAAATAAATAAACAAATAAACAAATAAATAAATCCAAGTAATGCAATTTTTTTTTAGGAGCAACCAAAGTGACACAAACCATTAAGCAAGCTTTTGAACACCTCAGAATCCTGCTGTAGAGAAACACATTTTTAAAGAATCAGGGAAAAAATTATGTCAGGCAGGAGTCTTCTCTCTCGCTCGTTGATCTTCCCTTGCAAATAAGCAGCGATGTTGCCTTGTCCACACGGGTATTCGGCAGCAGTCTTTTGCACAGGAAACGTGTTTACGTCAGAATCGTTCCTCGGATAATTCAGAGTCGCCGACTTCATTCATGCCTTTTGTACGCTGACGATCTGTCATCAGTGACAAGAACTGAGAGTGAGGAGGAGGAGGAAAACTGCTCGGAGATGACAGCGTATAATGAAAACACCGCAACGCCTCTCCTCCCCACATGTCTATTACACCCCAGCCTCCCACCATTCTCCTGGCCCTCTTGCTCTCCAAGTAGAAGACAAGCGCTAATATTGACCCAGAAGGTTCTTCAGGACACGAGTTACGTGGACTTTTGAGAGTTTAATAATATAATACATCGCTGCTCGCAGAGAGCAGTTATTCATCTCGAAATCGGCACTTTAATTTTTAACACTGATTATTTAAAATAAGTAGTCTCATAATGGGGAGAAGTTCCTGTAATAAGTTAACTGTGGATAGGAAGACTTGCTGGGGCAAGTGATTGCACTGTACTCTTGGTGCTTGGGAGGGGCAACAGTGGGAGGGCTTCTAGTGTCCTGGCCCCACTGCTAGACCTCCTGATGGCACCTGGTATTTTTGGCCACTGTGTGATACAGAGTGTTGGACTGGATGGGCCTTTGGCCTGATCCAACATTGGCATCTCTTATGTTCTTATGTTCAAATGTGTCCCCAGGGATTGCAGACAAATATCAACTGTATCAAATTATCAGGGCTGCAATCGTAACTCTCTCCTGGGAGTAAGCCCCACTGAATAAAATGGGGCTTATTTCTGAGTAGACCTGCTCAACACTACTGTCTACCGGACACGCATGCTTGAGTACGTACATAACAATCCAGCCTCTGCCAGGAAGAGAAAATGGCAAACTCTGAAAGAAGCATCTTCCGCTGTGACACTGAAGAGAAAGGACATGCAGAAAAACTGGTCAGCTGTGGTCGCAGGTTGTGTTTGAAGAGCAATGACCTCCAACAAGAAATGCCACAAAGACCCTAGAACTGTGTGATTGGGCAGAGCAGAAAGTGCAAGCTCTAAGGAGGACAGATTTGGCACCATTCCAAATCCTATACCAGGTATTATATTATGGGTTTAAAAAAAAAAGTTGCAATCCTAGGGACACTTTCCTGGGTATAAACGCCACTGAATAACATGGGACTCATTTCCCTTTTTACTAATCCTCTTTGAGCCACAATGGAGATATATAAGTATTCTGTTTGTTTATTTAGATTTTTAGGCCGCCCTTTGGGCTAGCACCCTTCCTTGGGAGCGAGGCTGAAGGTGGCTGACAACAGAAAAGGGCATACAATGAGTAATTAAACATTAAAACCAAGAATAAATATGTAATACATACAGCACCAATAAATCATCAGCATAATTCAGTCATTCCAAGATGGTGGGAGGAAATTTCAAATTTCACAGGCCTCCTGGGGAGGGGGCTTGCAGGGAATGGAGGGGATGTGAGTGCCAGACCTCGGACTGTGTCATCGCTGTCCTCAACCGGACAGGTTAAAAATAAATATGTTCAAAGCAATGCTCCCTCTAAGCTGTGCAGTATTGTGGGCAAAAATTCTACTTTGTGAGCTACTGGCATGAAACTTGTGAGTGAGCAATTTGGCTACTGCATAAGTTAGTTTGCTCTGGAGCCATCCTTCCTGAGCTAAGACAAAAATGTGTGAGCCGGAGGTTAAAAGACTGTGAGCTAGCTCACACTAACTCAGCTTAGAGGGAAAGTCGACCTGTTTAGGGTTGCTCCCTAATACTGTAACCCTCAGCAGATCGAGCCAGAATCCTACTGAAGTCTACTCAGTGGGGTTTGCTTCCAGGAAAGTGTAGTTAGTGTAGAGACTTAAATCTGTATCTTAAATAAATGTCTCAAATTTGCAGCCCATCTCTCCTGCCTAATATGTTAGCAGCCCAAGCTGGCTTTTGACTGAGGTCTTTGGGAACAAATTTAGAAACGCCTTCTTTTCAAATTTTGTTTTACTTATAGGAACTTTCCCCCATATGCACACAGGGGTGCTTATTTTAAATAATCAGTGTTTAAAATTAAATCTGTAAATAAAATATTAACAGTGACAAACATGCATGCTATATTTTTATATGCCTATCAAATAGTATATTTTTATGAACTTATATGTAAAGCACAGGGATGAATAGCAAAGGTGCTAAAAATGTTTGGTAATTTTAATACATTTCCTTTATTTGTGGTTATTGGGGGGGCACAATTGTCTAGTAGTTAAGAGTTCTCGTCCGACTAGGATCTGGTTTGAATCCCCACTTGTGCCATGGAAGCTCGCTGGGTGACCTTGGGCCAGTCACACTCTCTTGGCTTAGCCTACCTCACAGGGTTGTTGTGAGGGTTAAATGGAGGAGAGGAGGATGAAGATGTAAGGCACTTCAAGTCCCAGTTGGGGGGAAAGGCGGGGTATAAATGAAGCAAATAAATAAATAAATCAGACTTATTAACTTGTGGAAACAGCCTAGCAAAGTTCGTGTGCAGGGCTATTTTGGGGCAGGAACGCACAGGAACGGAGTTCCGTCCGGCTCCTGAGTTGGCCATGCCCAGCAGGACCTCATTAGCATAATAAGCCACACCCAACAGCAGGAACTCATTAGGATTGGCTGCATTAGGGGTGTGTGGCCTAACATGCAAAGGAGTTCCTGCTCTAAAAAAAGCCCTGGGTTTTGACAACAAACAAGGCAAACAGAATAAGAAGCAAAAGGTGGGTGTGGCTGGATGACCACACTTCTGGTAACACGTGGGTGTGGCCTAATAGGATAATGAGCTGTGCTGTCAGGGTTGTGGCCTAATATGCTAATGAGTTTCTGCTGTTGGGTGTGGCCTATTATGCTAATGAGTTCCTGCTGGGCTTTTTCTACAAAAAAAGCCCTGTCGTGTGTAACTTGTTTGGACCTGTCCTCAGCCCACCCACCACTGTGGCAATGGGCAGTGGCAAAAAACTGACAGCCACATCACTTTGTAACATTTCTATTCCCCCTTTTCTCCCCAGACTCGGCAGCAGCCCAGTTGTGAGAACACAGATTGTAACAGTCCAAATTAACAAAAATAAGGGATACCAAATTAAGGAATGGGGGAGAGGACTGAATGATTTCAAAAAGTAGTTATATTGGACACTACTAATTTTTTGCCCATGCAGAGGGCACAGGGAGAAACTTCAGGGACTAAAGATACTTGTGCAAACAACCATTTGCAGAGGGCCCATGGATCAGGGGTCCCCAACATGGCACCCGTGGGCCCCAGGGCACCCACAGACATTTTTCCAGGTGCCCGCCAAGTGTTTTTAGAAAGTGGCTGAGGCCAGGTGGGGCATTTTCCCAGCAGTGCTCCTGACTGGCCACTGGAGATTGGATGGGCTGTGCAGATCTTTAAAAATGTTTCTCTGGCTGCAGCTGCAACCACAGCTCAAGGATGTTCCCTGTATGACGAAGGTAAGCTGGCCCATGCCAGAAAATATTTTTTAAACGTTCATTTTAAAAGGCATCCTGTTAAACAGAGTTTCTGTCTGAAATTTTGAAGTGTATAACCTAACTTGCTGACATTTTGTGGTGTTATAGGGCCTGTAACACACACACACACACACACACACATACTTAAAGTACATATGTACATGCCTTTAAATGAGCCCTCACAAACTAATTTGTGTGTGTGTCCCCCCCCCCAATCAAGGCCTGTGTGGCGGGAGCCTCCGTTCTAGTTCTGTGTGTGTGTTGGTTGTAGCTCCAGGTTTGTGTGAAGCAATAAAAAAGTCTGTTGCTGAAGCTGCCAGTGTCTCCTAGGTGCTAGCTGTATTCAGGGTTGCGAGGTCCCCCCTGACCACCGGCTGGGGATAGGGGCGTGGGGTTGCCAGATCCAGATTGGGAAACTCCTGAAGATTTGGAGATGGAGCCTGGGGAGGACAGGGACCTCAGTGGGGTACGATGCCATAGAGTCCACCAGGGTTATAACCAGGATTTAATTTTTTTATTTCGGGGGCACTTAAGTAAGTGGGGGGGGGCACTCCTGCACACACACCCAAGCTGTGTCAGGAGCGAGAGTAAAAGTTTTAAAAAGCAACGAGAGAGGTGAGGGCTTCGGCAGGCAGGGCAGGGCGACGTCTCGGCATGGCGCATGCAAAACTAAAATAAACCAGCTGGGTGGGAAATTGGGGGGGCTTGGGCGGCAAGTCGGGGGACTGGGCCCCGAGATGCCCCACTGTGGTCCCCCCTCCAAAGCACCCACTTTCACCAGGGGAAGTGGTCTCTGTAGTCTGGAGATGAGCTGTCATTCCAGGGGATCCCCAGCTCCCACCTGGAGGCTGGCAACCCTTGTGTGTGTCAAGTGCCATCCCGTCGCAGCTGCCTTATGGCCGCCAAGCAAGGGGGTGGGTTGCCCTGGCCTTCCTCTGCATCCAAGTACTAAGCAGGGCTGGTGCTGCTTAACAGCCGAGATCTGATGAGAGCTGGCTATAGGGGGCCACCTTCCCTTTCCCGCAACTAGACAGGTGAGCTTAATCCTACACACCAGACCCCAAAGAATGCTACAGGGACTACCTAGGAATTAGGGCTGTCTCTGCCAACAGGCCCAAGCCTCATATCACTGGAGAGGGAAAGCCCGTTTCCTTCCAGCAGGACTTGGCACTCCAAGGACCCCATTAGGGCAACCTCCCCCCCCCCCAAGTGCTCCGCTTGCCCAGGGTTGCATTTAAACCAGGCCTAAATTACAACGGGGGGGGGCAATCAGGGGGCCGGCGAGGTCCACGGCCCAGAACTGCCCTCCCCTGCGCTCTGCCTCGCCTCCCAGAAGGCGTTTCTCAATCTACAGACGTGTCCAGGCTCCATCGGAACCAGGGGCTTCCCCACCAGCAACGCTGCAAAGAAGCTCTTCCTTCCAAGTAGATGGCGGCTCCGTCACCTCCCCTCTAATGGGAGATCCTTCCGCAGAAAATAGTTCCTCTGCTATTCTCCTGGATCTTCTGCGAAGAAAAAGGGACGTGACGCCAAGGGGGGGAAAGGGGGGGGGGGTTATAGAGCCTACAGGAGCATGCGGGGAGGGGGGCAGAGGGGCGGAAAGGAGGGTGAGCTGTGCGGCTCGGCGCTGGTGGGCTC